AGAGTCTTTTGGCATTGCTGGACCAGAAGAGTGTGCAGTTCTGTATCTCAGTTACTGTCTAAGCGAAGATCAATCCTGGCTACTTGCGGTTGCGACCGATGATCGTGGTGAAATATTCGAAACAGCTACTATCAATATTGATATACCCAATAGGAAAAGAAGAAAACGCGCCTCAGCCAGACGAATTGGATTACAAAAATTGATGGATTTTATATTAAGTGTAATGTCTCAAGGTGTAAGTAATTTATATATAACATAAAAAAATTAAATAAATTTTTTATATTTAATTCTTATTTTGTGTTTATAAAACATTTATGGTTGTATACTATAATTCTAGTCAGTAAGTTTAATGAGAAATATTCAAATATTTTTAAATATATTTAAAAAATAATAAATTCATTTAATAGAAAAATAAAATCATTTAATATTTAGTTATTTTAAAATATCAAAAAAGTAATAAAAATATAATTAATGATAAGAAACAAGAAATAGTAATAATAAATTATTATATTTAATATTTAAATAATTGTAAATATTTTATTAAAATAAATACTTTTACATTTATTCATTTAGGTACAACCTTGGAGATTAGTAGTAGGTCGTGTAGGCCGTATTGGACATGGTGAACTAAAAGGTTGGAGTTGGTTATTGTCGAGAAAAGCGCTTCTTAAAGCTTCTAAACATCTTAAAGAAATATGTGGTCAATGCAGCCTTTTATATCCGTCAGCAGCACCTTGTGTGCTCAGCGCTTGTTTAGTTTCCCTTGAACCAGATTCAACTCTCAGGCTTATGGCTGATCAGTTTACACCTGATGAAAGATTTAGTCAAGCATCAGTAAACTGCCAATTGTCTACACCACAAGATGTTACGTGTACTCATATTCTCGTCTTTCCTACATCTGCTACCACACAGGTAATTTTTTGTTTAAATTTTATTTCAAAATATAAATAAAATATTAACAAAAACTATTTGAAAAATTCATTAATAAAAATCATTTGAATATTCATTAAAGTAAAATATATAGAATTATTTTTTTTTATTAAAAAAAACATTTTTTCAAAACATTAATTATTTTATTAATTTAATAATAGAATTCTTTCATGAATTTATTAAAAAAAAATTTTTATTTTCAATTTATCCTTCTTTGGAAATTATATTCTATATAATTCTAAATAAAGTATATTTTACATCATATCTTGTACATTCTAATATAAATTAATAGTTGAATAGATATATTTAGGAAAAATAAAATTTTTTTTTATAAATTAAAAAATAAATATATTTTTAAAAATTAATATATTTATTAAAAATTATTTTTAATAAAATTTCAATAAAATTCTCTTTATTCAATGTTTATGATATTATATTATAAATATATGATAAATATCTATGATAAATATGATAAATATCTAAAAATGATAATTTTTTTTTTACTATAGTCGTCACAGACTGCATTTCAAGAGCAGCATATTAATGGACCAGAATTAGGAGATGATGAACTATTTTCTGCATTAAATGATGATATGCCAGAAGGTATGGAAGGCATGGGAGATTTCAACGATATTTTCAATGTATGGCCAGAAGCTGGTGCTGGTGGAGGGCAAAGTCCTGGAGGCAGTCCACATCGTCCTGAAGGATCTCCAATGGGTGGAGATGGTGGTGGTTCAGGTTTAGGCAATCATGATGGACCTGGTAGTCCATTTCCATGTAGTAACACACCAAGAGTAAGTTAAATATATAAGTATAATTATTTAAATTTCAGAAATTAAATATAGTTTAAAAGATTCAATTCATTTCTATTTTAATTCTTGATGTTAATAAATATAATTATACTTATGAATATTACTAATATTACTAACTTATGAATATTGTTGAATATTACATAATTTTTATATTAAATATTTTATATCATGATTATTTTTTATAAAATTTTATATTATAAAAATAATTTTTTCATAAGAAATTAAATAAGATAATAAAATTTTTACTAATACTTTAACTAAAACTTTAATTGAATTAAATATAACAAAATAAATGTTTTAATTATCATAATTATTATTTATATGTAAAATTAAGAAAAAAAAATTAATTTACATTTGATAGATGGCAGTTGCTGAACAAGCAGAAGAAGTAGGAACGCTATTACAACAACCTCTTGCTCTTGGTTATTTGGTATCTACTGCACCAACTGGACGAATGCCACCATGGTTTTGGTCAGCTTGTCCCCATCTAGAGGGAGTTTGCCCAGTATTTTTGAAGAATGCCTTACACTTGCATAGTCCAGCAATTCAACAGAATAGTGATGATCTGTTACAACAACAAAGTGCACTCACTGCTCATCCATTAGATTCACAGTATACCACCGATGTGCTCAGGTTAATATTATTGCTTTCATTGATTATATATTTTTCTTTTAATTATTAAGTTTTTATTAATAAAATATTATTATAATTAATAATTTAAATATTTTGAAAATAACTTTTAATTATATCAAAGACATTAAATCAAAAAATTTTATTATAGTATTTCAAGATTTTATTTAATATTTAATTTAGTAACTTACAATTTATGATATATATATATTTTTTTATTAAAATTTAGTTTAAAATATAATATATTCGTATTATATCAACAATCTATATCTTTGCTAAATTCTTCATAATATATTTACTAATTATTATTACTAATATGTATTTTCAGATATGTACTGGAGGGATATAATGCCCTATCATGGCTCGCAGTGGATGCGAATACGAAAGATCGTCTATCCTGCTTGCCAGTGCACGTACAAGCGCTCATGCAGCTCTACCATGCAGCAGCAGCTCTCGTCTGACCCACACCCTCTCCCTTCGTAGTGCAGTATGTGCACCTCTTTCATGCACTTCTTAACCATACCGTCACTTGGGGCTTTACGAGAGCAACTGGTTTCCTACGTCCGTCTTCAACTGTTTTTTAGAGACTTTGAGATTCTTCTGGATAACTGGGAGAACGATCTTTCGACCATTAGTCGAACCTCCAATGCGAAACTGACTTTTTTTTGTACTCGATTCTTTTTTAAATTAATGCGATAATACATCGTAATTGTAGCGTAAACTTGATGATTATCAATGCACAGTAATTCTTTTTAACATTTTTCTATTCGTGTAATTCGATATCCGAAAAAAAAATAAATAGAATGTATTTTATGTTTTTCAATAATCGCGATAAACGAAAATAAGATAACACGAAATATTATGATGACCGTATATTGCCGTATACCAAATGGAATCTAATGAATGGAAGGTAGAATTTTATGTGTGCGAGAGATTGATAGAACGAATGAACTTATAAGAGAACGAAAGAGAGTGAATAAAAGAAAGTGTGAAAGAGAGGAAAGAAGGGAGAACGAGTGCGCGTGTATAAATGGAAGAATAGAGGAAACAAAAGAGAACGCGCCATAAGAAGTTAAACAATTGCCTCTCTGTCGGTAGATAGTTCAATTACAAATCAGAATCTCTAGAAAATTACATAACCAAAACGTTTTTAATTGTAAATTGAATTTTGTACAAAGCTTTTATTATTAATAACGACGAAGTAATATAAATAATATTACGTTGTTTTTTAATTTTATATAGATGATATAAATGAAAAAAAGAAGAACGGAAAGGGAGGCGATACTTCTTTTTTACAAGTAAAATGCCTCGTACAAGCCCCTGGTGTGAGATAAGTACGACAATTATACATATATTATATTATATTATGCTCGCGCGGCACTGGGTCACTGTTATCATGTTTCCTGGACCCATTAGCGCAATTTTTCGATGCTGTTTGACAAATTTTATTCAAATTAGGTGACCTCTATATATTATACATACATTAATAGTGTAAAATATTGTTTTTAAATAATTTATGAAGTGAGAAACATCGCCGAGATATTAGATAATTGAAAATGAGCGAAAAAAGAGCAAGAATAAAAGAAAATGAGAGAAGGGCACAGAGAGGTTTGTTCCCTGAAATTTAGAAAAAAAAATGATTTCATAAACAAATAAATGAGCGCGCAAACAAAGCGAAAAAGATATATAAGAAATAAATAAAAAGACAAGAGAAGAGAATACAGGGCGCGTCTGAATGGAAGCCAATGGTGGCTAATTGCGTCAGTCGCATAGTACAAATATGACTTGTACATAGCAATCCCTAATCCTCTCCCCCTTATAAAGTTAATTGGTTAATTTACTCACACACCACACTCACACTGTATCTATAGTATTTATTATCTGGGTAGAACATCATTATTGGGATTATTATTATTAATTATTATTATTATTATTACCATTACCATTATTATATTAATATTACGAAATACAGTTTTATGTGTATATATAATTACATACCTCATTTCACACAAAATATGTGTGTATCTTACAGCTTTGATGTTGCAAGCATAATAGAAATGGTATAATATCTTTATTTCTGCAAAACTTATTATTAATGTAAAATTAATCATATATCATATCACTTAAAGAAAAAAATCTTAATATGTACAGAAAAAGAAAATATAAACTGCTGTAAATTAATGATAATAGATCAAATCATTACAGAATAACTTTCTTTTTTCTTTTTTAAAAAAATGATTAATTATGAAAAAACTTAAATTAAAAAAATAATTTAAAAAATAAATAAACTTATTACAAAAGTTTATGAAAATATATTTTTAAATTTTATTTTCATATTTCAAGAATAACATTTCAATTAAATATTTGATGAAAAAATTAATTTTATTGTATAAATTTATACATGTACAATATGATTATTAAAATTAATTAATAAAAATTACTAAGTAATAATTTATAATATAATTAATTAATAGTTAATAATATTCTAATATGCTTGTAACATTTATAAGAATGCATACCTTGTTTTACTCTTATGATGAATTTATAAATTTTTCATCATTCATATGTAGGTACGTATAAACATTCATATATATCTATTACAGATATAAGCCAAAATGACACGAAATATCACATATATCACAAATTTTTATTTTTCAGTGAATATGTTAATATCTAATTCGTTGGCCTGAATGGACTAGTTATACTCATGAAAATAAAAAAAAAGAATTAATATCATCGATTTTAGTAAATGTCGAATAATCGAATCTAAAAACGATTAGAATTTTAAATTATGTATGTAAATATAAAAGAAATTTTCTTCAATTTCAAAATTTTTTGAATTTTAAAATGATTAAAAAAAATTATCTCTGAATAATTATAACAATTAATTTATATAAAAAATAATTTAAATAGGAAAAAGTTTAATTGAAAATTTTTTTCAATTGCAAAATTTTTGTTTTTATTTTAATTATTAAATTTCAAAATATTTTTTTTTAATCTCTATAATATTTGCTTAAAAATTTATAAAAAACAAAAATATTCATTATAAATTAAAATGTGATAAGTATAAAGACTAGTATTCAGTCAATACAGTAATTGACTGATCTGTAGTAAGTTTCTCTATACTATGCGTAATGCCATATGGTCTTAAGTGATAAATTAAGTACTCAAGAACATACATCATATTAGGTGACACATAGTGAAATGAAATCGCAGTATCGGAACAACAATTAAGACCATCTTTGGTATTATAATAAATATACTTCCAATACCAGAAATTCTTATCCATGTGATTAGGAATTAAATGATGCTCTGGTACAAAAGGGAAAAATCTTCCACGACCATGTGGATCTCGAGTATCCATCGCTTTGACATTTATTTTTTCCAGGCACTTTCCCATTTCTACATCTTCTGCACCTCCACTATCTGAACGACACTTTGTTTTATCAGGCAAAGCCTCTTCCACAAATTTACGCAAAGCTTCCTTACTAAGTACATATCCTGCACCACCACTCATGTATCCTTGTTTCACAAATGGCTTAAATCTACAGCCAAAATATAATGGTGAATTTGAGTCATAAGATGATAACATATATCGTAAATTTTCTACCACCACATATCTGAAAATTTAATAATTTTTAAATAATATTAATCATAAAATAAAATTATTATATTAAAAAAAAACTTTAAATTTTAAATCTTTCTTATTAAATCTTATGATTCAAAATTTGTAATTGCAATAAATTATTTACGTATCATCATCAGCTTTCATAAACCAATCAACTTTATCTTTGTACTTTTCATAAGCATATTTAAAAGCTTCTTTGGTTTTTTGCCCATAAGTTATCTCTTCCTTCTTTTACTGATAAAACAACTGTAGGTAAATTTGTATCTGGAAATTTAATATTTAATAGTATGTTTTACAAAATAATAATTTAAATTATTATTATATTTTACCTTCAGCAGAACTCATAAATAAAAGAATATTGCAACGTTTTCCCCATGTTGCTTTCACATGTTGAGCTTTACTTTGGTGATTTTTTGGACCAGTCATGATCCAACATAAGACTCGTACTTTTTTTGCAAGTTCTTGTGCAACTTTATCTTCATCTTTATGAAAATCCTCATCTGTACTATGAAATTTTACCTCTATTTCAGGACCAACCTATTACATTTATTAATAAGATAAAATTGAATATAAAGAGATAAAATAAAAATAAATAGTATAAAATAATTACTTCTGATTCCAATTCTGAATAGTGATGTGGATCTCTTGAAAGCATAAAACCACCAGAAAACCAATTAAATATATATGGCACATTTCTTGTAGAAGTTATTAAAAGGCACGCTGAGATAAATCCAAAAATTATACCAATAAGAAGAGTTAATATAAAATGCTTACCACTTCTAACACCTAAAATATAAAATTTATTAATAAAAAGATATATAGTGATAATGCTAGATAATTTAATAATGAAAATCAATCATTTTAAAATATTAATTTACCATCAACATTTAAAAACCTTCGAATCATGATATATAACAAAAGTAAACAACTTTAATCCAGCTAAAGGATTTAATTATGTCAAATTACTGCAACAAAATGTATTTTTTTAACTTGTTAATGATTTTTATTAATTAAAAAGCATTAATTTCTTACATATTTAAATGAAATAAAAGAAGTTATAAATAAATAAAAGTTAGAATTATAAATTTTTATCATATCTTTAATAATAATAATAATAATAATAATAATAATTACATTACCTATAAATTTCTGTAGACATGAATAAAAATTTAAAATTATTTTAGTCATTTTTAAAATGAACTATTTATTATATAATCGGACATCATTTATCAATTCGAAATTCTTTATATTAACATTTTTTTTAATTTAAAACATTGTTTCTGAAAAAAATAATTTTTTTATTTATTTTATTTATAAGAATATATTATTTTATAAAAATGTTATTATTATTGTGTTAATAAATAAAATATTTTATATCTTTAACTTATTTCATAAATTCATAAATAGCATTCAAAAAAAATACATTTACTTTTATGTTTGCAATTAATGATTTTAGATTTATATAAAACAAATATATTTTATATGTTTAATATATTATTAAAAAATGATATATAAATATTATAATAGTTAAAAATATTGTACAAGAAAATATATAAAATAATATTAAAAAATATACCTATAATACAAAGACATAATATAAAAACAAAAGTATATCAACAAAAAATTAAGATTTATAAATTGATAAGAAAGTTTTAATAAATTTTATTTATAAAAGTTTAAATAAATTATATTATATTATATTTTCAATCAATCACATTAATATAAAAAATTCTTCTAATTATATTATCAGTTATACTATAAATTTAACACAAAATAATATTATTATAATATAATGAATTATTATATTTATTTTTATATCTAAGTAATTTTAAAGATAAGTTTAATAATAATCACAATTAACACTAAAAAAGATTATATATGTAATATGTATCAAACAATATAATAAAACGTATTCCAATTTCGTAAAATTTACTTTTATAACTTATCAATATCTTACCTATATTATCTTTTACATGTTTTATATATACTCACAAATATGCCCTTTATTTACTTATCAGCAAATATGTAAAAAGTTCCGCACGCGCTAGATAACGCGAGAGAATTCATGATTATGATAATTTCTGAATAAAATAATATTTTGCAAAAAAGTTGATTTAAATATTTCAACAAAATTCTGAGTCACATGATATTTTTTTTGTATAGTAGTTCAATAATAACTAAATACTTTACTCAACCAGTATATATATATAGATATATTGCAAATTTCTACACAACCTAACTTTATTTACATCTGCAAATATATATTATAAATATAATATATATTTATTACATACATTCAATAATATTTATTATAAATATAGCATAAGAAATTTAGAATAAAATATAATTTTATTACTAGGATATTTGAATGTATTTATCATTTTTATAATAATTTATAAAGTACATTTATCTAGTTGTAAACAAAATATGCAAATTATCAAAAAATTATTTAATTATTTATATGTAATTTAAACAAAAAATGATTTCAAATAACAAATTATTAATTTGTTGCAATTAATTTTTTTGTAAATGAACAAAAAGAATCATATATTTTTAAAATAGAATTAAATAGTTTATATTTTTAAATATAGTATCAATTCGTCTTGACATTTCTTAAAAAAATACAAATCATATAAAAGCACATATTTATATTGAAAAATCATTAATTTAAAAGATATTATAATTTCAATTGTGTCAAACTTTGCTATATGAAAGCATGGAAAGTTATATATGAAGTTATGAAAAGCATGAATAATGGAGTATCACTTCACATATTCCTTATTTTCCATATTTTGCAAACTTTAAATTAGAATATTTTTTACTAATAATTTTTAATCATAAATAGATTTTTTGTAAGAAATGATGATCGATTATTAAAAATTAATTATTCAAAACTATATGATTTCATATGACTTAATATGTTATATGACTGAATATGTTATATATAATGTTCATAAAAATAATCATGTTTCTATCTAATCATGTACAAAAAGCTAATTATATCCATTATAATTATGTCTTTTTTGAAACTATTTTTATTTGAATCATTTTTTCATAAATATAATATAGTTTGTCAGTAATTTGTATAATTTGTTTTATGGATATTCTATAATCATTGAGAACTAAGTAAAAATTTTAATTTTTAAAATATATTTTTAGAATTTTAATTATTATTCATTATTAAAATATGAAATATATGAGTAAACATATTGCTTGTTTGATTTTTGTAAATACGAATATCGAATTACTTTAAATAAATAATAAATAAGAAATTATAAAATTATATTTAGCTATTATGAATATGTCGGAAAGTTTTATATTTTGTACAAAAAATCAATATTTTTGCAATGTTTAATTATTTAATTATTTGCAGATATTTTAATAAGTAAAACGAAATTAAAAATCTTATTAAATTTTAATTTAGATATCCAAATTTAAAAAAAAAATTGTTTTTATTTTGAGATACAAAATTCAAATTTTAATTATTAATAATGCAAAAGTTATTTATATGCATTTTCACTTAATTCGATTGATAAAATCACCAAATTCAAATTTTGTTAAGATTCAAATATTTTTTATTAATTAATATATTTTATTAATACGATAATTCGAAATTATTTTATCTATATATAACTGCAAATAAAATATTACATCGTACTATTTCGTAGATTATTATACATCCAAACAATTTTTCTTATATATATATAACTATTAGTTACTTCTAGTATGATATACATTTATAAGTATATGTATGACGCTTAATAGAAAGCTGTAATCAAAATATCAATGTCAAAATTAAAATATATTATATCAACATAATGACAGCGAATTATTATTTTGCAATTGTCGGACATACTGACAATCCTTTATTTGAAATTGAATTCAATAATTCTGGGAAAGATACGAAGGTTCATTTTTTTAAAGGTTATGTTTAAACACTATATAATAATTAACAAGAATAACATTTATATTTTTGCGTTTTTTACAGAAAGAAGATTATACACATTTAAATCAATTTATTGCACATGCTGCTCTAGATCTTGTAGATGAACATACTTGGAAAACTACAAATATGTATTTAAAAGTTGTAGATAAATTTAATCAGTGGTTTGTAAGTGCTTTTGTTACTGCAACTCATATACGATTTGTTATGGTACATGATAGTAAAAATGAAGATGGTATAAAAAATTTTTTTAATGAAATGTATGAAATGTATATAAAGGTAAGAAAGTTATATTTAAATATTTGATATTTTTATTAAAATTATTTAATAATTATGTTTTATTTCCTTTGTAGTATTCTATGAATCCATTTTATAATTAAACACACCTATTAAATCTATTGGTTTTGAGAAAAAGGCACAATTATATGGCAGAAAATATTTATCATCCTAAGTATTTATTATTATATTTTATTTTTAAAGTTCATATAATAACAAATCTAATATTATCATTTAGAAATTTGATGTTTGTATGTTTGTAGTATGTATTACTTATATACATTATTTGTATTCTTAATATTAAATATGTACACATATAAAGCAACTTTAAATATAAAAATTTATCATTTAAAAAATTTATATAATATCAAAGTAAAACTAGAAAATATAATAAAACATCACTAAAAATATTGAAATAATTTTTAACATATATAAATTTTATATAAATGATTAAAATTGTAAATAAAAAACAATGTAATTAATTATACAAAAAGAATATTGTATCATAATAAATAATATAGAAATTGAGAAAATAAAATTGTCCTTTATAATCAAAATAGATTGATATTAATTATAAAAAAAATATTATATCATTAAATAGAATATTATCTTATATTTAATTAAAGTATTTTTTCTTAATAAATATTATTTCTTTTCATTTAATTTCATTAAAACTTTTTTTAATAAATGCTGATATAATATTTATTATATAATGGTAATATAATATAAAAAATTTTTTACAAAAAAGTAAATTTTTATTTTTTAAAAATAAATATATCTAGAGAGAGACAGAGAGAACGATTTTAAAATAATACAAAAAATTTAAAATATTCAAAATATATATTGATTTTTATAATATTAAATTGATCAAGTAATTATTTTTTATTAAATTTGTGATGAAATATTGATAATAAAAAACATTTTATTGAAAAAAAATCGAAAGTATAAAATTTTTATTTTAAAGTTATATTATAAAAATATTTATATATAATGTAATCATATGATCTATAAACTTGAAGTATAATTATAATATTTGCAAAATTTGGTATCTTAAAAAAAGTATTTAAAATTTCAAATAAAATTCTTATGTTCTTTAGTAATTTATTTTTTACTCCTATTGAAATTAAAAACCCTATACAAGATCGAGTATACACATAAATGTATATGTATATCTATATAAATATATAAATTTCATAATGAAAAATATTCAAATAAAAAAAATTCAATGGTAAACTATATAAGGATATATATATGTATGTATAATGAGAATTTTTTATTTATTTAATTAATATAATAAAGATCATATTTTTTATATTATATTATAAAAAGTTTTTACTTTTTATATTTTAGAAAAATAATAGACATTATACACGTTCTAAATTACATATATAAATAAATCAAAATATATATTCTGTTCAGAATTAAATATTTTGTATCTTTTAATTAATACTAATCGTATTAATATCATAGATATTATTTTTTATAATATTTTTGAATTCATTACTAAATATTTATATATTATCTATAAATTTTTATAATTTTAAATCTAGAAATTATAGAATAAAAAAACATTAATGTACGTAATTAGTACTTTTTTGTAATATATTTGATAAATTTTTATATATATTTTATATTTATATATAAAATGATATAAATTTTCAAATGAATATAATTTTAATATTTTTATATTTTAAAATATTTAATTTTTTTCTTTAAGGAGTGGGTCAATTAATTTAAATTGTTAAAAATCACAATGTTTTTCATATATTCCATGTATTTGATATTTTTATTATTATTCCTGAATAAAGCTAATGTAAATGGTATAGGTAAGTAATAAATATATAACAATAGTTCTTTCTCACACGAATATACAAAATATAAATGAAATATATTTACAGATCCCAATGAAATAGTTATCGTAATATTAGATCAAAAAGAAGGCTATCATATAGCACATGCTAAAATGTTAGAAAAAAATATCTTTGAACAAGCAGATGCTCTTGACAAAGTATATTTACAATATTAAATACTGTTATATATTTAAGAATTATTCTATTCTATAATGTTAAAATATAATAATTAATTTTTTCATTAGGATCCTCCCAAAATTGTTTTATCTCATAAATTAAATATTAATGGATCTTGGACAATAATACCACTTCTAAATCATTTATCAGATACATATATTACTTCAAAATGGTTTTTTTTTGTCTAGAGAATACTGTAATTAGATTAAATAAACTATTAAATATTCTTTCCAAATTCAAAGAAAATAAAGTATGTATTTCTATTATTAAAAAATGTATTCAAAATTATGTTTGTTAATAATTGTTTTTTTCTTTTTTTAGAATATATGGATTGGTCATGCATTATATGATCATGAACCAACTATCATACATCATTTTGCAGAACATAATAAGAAATTTAAATATCCACACATAGCTTCAGGTTTTGCAATAACATCAGTTTTGTTAACAAGGTATTATTTAAACATATAACTCAATTTTGTTAACAAGATTTTATTTCAAAATATAATGTAATTTAATTTATATAAATTTTATTATTTCTCATTATATAAATTTTGTTTTCATAGTTTAGTACATAAAATTATTAAAGATGAAGGACCTAAGAATGATTTTTCAATTGATGCATCATATGAATTTGCATCTTTTGTTTTAAAGATTGATAAAGGAATACGATTAACACATGTACCTCAAATATGTGTCATATCTAGTTCTGAATGTGCTACATATCCAAGATTCTTTCATCCATGTGTAAATATATATTATTTGTATTATTTTGTTTTATTTATTATATTTTTCTTTGTACTTATATAATTTTAAATAATAAAGGATTCATCTATAACTTCTAAAAATATATACTTTGCTGTAAAAACTTGTGCAAAATTTCATATTGATAGAATTCCTGTAATTAAAAAAACATGGGCAAAGTATGCTATCAATATTGGTTACTTTAGTGATATTGCTGGTATGATCGTTTTTCTTATATAATTAATTAAATAATTACTGTATATACATTAAATATTAGTGAAATAGCATGTTTTTTTTTTAGTATAGATAAATATCTAACTGATGCTTTTATTGTATCAAATACAACTCAAGGACATTGTGCAAAAACATATAATATTTTAGTTGAAGCAAGTAAAATTTTAAAAAAAAAAAATCTAAATTGGTTAATAATCAGTGATGATGACACACTTTTTAGGTATTTATTTCTTTTTATTATATATAATTTATTATATATAATATAAAATATAAGAAATACTAATATAATACTCTTTAAAGTGTGGCACGTTTAATACGTTTCTTAACATGCTACAATCCAAACATTCCACTTGCTATTGGAGAACGTTATGGTTTTCAATTGTGGAACAGTTTTCATGGATATGAATACTTAACCGGTGGAGCTGGTGTTGCCTTATCTGCACCTTTAGTATATGAAATGATAAAATTGGGTAAATGTGATTGTCCATCACCTACAACTCCCGATGACATGTATCTCTTTGGTATATGTCTAGCACAAATTGGAATACAACCTATACATTCATCAATGTTTCATCAAGTATGTTATTTAAAATTATTTATTTTTAATATTTTAGAAAGAAATTTTATATATTAATAATATAAATATATAAATATTTTATTTTAGAAAATTTTTAAATATGATTTCTAATTTATATACGGACATAAAAATATTTATATAAATATTATTAAAAGTAAAATTCAAAGTCTTTCAACAGTTAAATTAATTTTAAATATATATTATATGGAATATATATAACGTATATTAATAAGAATTTAAAAATCTGCATTCTTAATATATATACAATTTATAATTTTGTATTAGAAAATATAATTAAAAAAAAAAAAAATAACATGCGAAATTTTTCTCAAATTCTTGAGATATCATATGAATTATACATATATATGATATAAAAATATATGTAATTTATATATAGGAACATAAAATATATTTTGTTTATAAGTTATACAAAGAAAATAAATTAAAAAATTTATTCATAGTATTATTTCATAGATATTTAGATTCTAGTGACTGCTAAAGGATTAATAATATATGTTCTTCTCAAACAATGTTGATTTCTTTGTTTTTTCTTTGATTTACTTTTTTTTTTTTTAACTTATGTATAAAATACTTTGTCAATATTCTATAAAAAAAAAAATGTAGAGATTTCATATTACTCATTTTTATGATATTTAACCCTTTGCATTCGTATTTATATTTAAGAAGGTTACCAATTAACTCGAAATTATTTTTCATATTCGATTAAAATGAAAACATTTTTCTGGGAATATATTACAAATTAACTTATCGTTTTAGTAGAAAAAATTTAGTAAAAAAATTTAAAAATATATAAATTTTATCTGTATCTCAACTTCTTAATCAGTGAAAATCTGTATAATATGTGTATATATATTTTGATTTTTCAAAATTTTTAAAAAATAAATGAAACTAACTTCTAAATTGTAAGGAACACATAAAACACATAAGTTGTGCGTATATAAAAGTATATAATAGCGTGAGTCTAATATACAATATATATATATAATAATTATAAAGAAATTTATGTTATCTTTTATTTTTTATTTATTTTTTATTTATTTATTTATACTAATGTAAATATATGTATAATAATAAAATATAGGATGGCGACTATACAGCGACATACAAGTGCAAAGGGTTAAAAATATTTTAAATGTTTCAAAGTAAGAAATTCGCAAAAATTTTTCGTTATTAATTAAAAAAATGATTAATAGAATTTGTATTAAGTTATTTAAATATATTATTAATTTTTAATTTAGTATATATCATGTATATAATTTTAAATATTATTTACATGAAGATAAGTATAATTTTAAAATATAATGTTTTTATTATAGGCACGACCTATGGATTATGCTACCCCATATCTTGCTTCACAAGATCCTATATCATTCCATAAATTTTGGATGATTGATCCTCAAGCAGTTTATGATGAATGGTTTGCAGAAGCAGACAAATCATTAATTACAGTTAAAAAACATATGGAATTATAATATTATTATAACTTGCATTCAATTCATAAATATTTAATAATGATAAAAAAGTTAATATTGTAATATATGTTAATATCAAAATTTTTATTTAAAAAAATATATTTATCATACATATTGCGCACAGTAATTCATAATTAATCAGAAACAAAATGACTTATATACAGTACTTACTTATCTTTAATATTGATAATTATAAAGTGATTTATGTAAAAAAATAAGTTGAAAATATATTTTCTCGAAAACTAATTTTTAAATGAAAAAAAAGAAACTTATTTTATATTTTTTCTTATCGTTACATAAAATTATCTTCTATAAAATTATCGATAATTTATTCGTATCTAATCAGGAAATAATCAATTTTACTTGTAAATTTAAAAATTTTATTCTATATTTTCGATTAATTTTTTGATATAGAATTACTTCTTATTTGATTGTACCATCAATTATGAGACATTTTACATATAATTTAAATTATAGAGATATAATGAATTTCTTCGATTTATATAGAAATATTTTTAGAATAAAATTAATTGAATATAGGTACATTTTGTATAAATTTTATAATAAATTTTTATTGTCCGGAAATTGATGAATAATTTTCATAATAGAAAATATTAAAAATATAACAACAAAATTAATTACATGCTATGTACATATCATAATTTTGATCGCACTATTTCTCTCCACCATGATGGTCGTTCGAAGTTTTCTTTATGCTTAAATATTTCTTCTTTAATATGTTTGTATACCTATGTACATATATATATATACAAAATAAGATGGGAATATTATAGATTGGACATTAAAAATAAAATAAACATACTTGACCATCGGCCATTCCTAATGGAGACTTTAGGATAAAATCCGGCGGTGCTAAAACATCGACTAACGCTACTGCCTCTCGAACTAATTGCTTACATAAAATTATGATACCTTCTCGTAATAATCTATCCATATTACTTTTAGTCGATGCATAACCACCAGCATAAAAATCTCCTAATCTTTTTTCTAAAATAACTGCTCCATAAAGCGAACATAATTTTGTTAATATATTACGTTCTTCTGATCTCCACAAAGGATTTTGTATACATTCTATAAAATACTTCATTATCACATGCTATATGAAAATATTAACAAAATTAATTTAATAATTCAATAATTATTTTGTAATATTAAAAATAAAATATTACCTGTCCGTACAATATAGATAATGTTTGTGCAAAAAATACTTGTGTATTATTTCTTATATCAAAATCATCACAACCTTTGCGTTTTAAGTTTTGTGTTTGTTCGTATGTTTTTTTTAAGTAATAACATAATAACCATGTAAAGGATAAAAATAAATCTGTAAAAAATAAGTGTCAAATAAAATCATAAATCATAAATTTTAAATTGTATTTAAATTATCTTCATACTTTCTGGTTTTAATATATCATCGACCGTTGTATAAGAAAATTTTTGTATTAAAATATTATTGGCATCTTTCATGAAATCTGCCGTTTTTAATGGAGAATTTATAGATTTTCCACTGAGTACATTTGACCATTGGTTTAATAACCAATTGCTTGCTTGCTGAATTAATACATTATTTTCGCCCTCAAATGTACAAGTTACGTCATTCTCAGCTCTTAGGTCACCCAAACGAGAAACTAATAATTGAAAATGAAAATTAAATAATACAAAAGTGAAATAAAAAGTGATTTCATTATGATTAAAGCATACTTTTAAGATAACCGTGTCCTCCACAAGATTCTCTACAATCCTGAATAATATCTCGACTAGTCCATGAACACACCGGTTTCGTTGCAGAAGATAGTGCATGTATTTCCATACCTTCACTATCGATGTTATCTTGATTTTTTGCATTTATTGTAATAAGTTTCAAATTAAATTCGAACATTTGATTGACAAATGCAACAGAAAATATTTTTATAGCATATGTTGCTGCCAAGTGAGGAAACAATCGCCATTGCTACATGTTTATGTTAAATTTTAATTGTACAACAGTTTTATATTTGGTAGATTTTCATTCGACTCATTTAAATACCTGCGCTTGATATTCTATAACTGGCCATTCCTCAAATTCCGATGGTCCGAATTGTTTCCTTACGGCACAATATCGTATAGCAATGGTTATTGCAACAGATGTAAAGTTTGAGCATAATGTTGTAATAGTAATACGTCCTGAAGATAATGCACCCAAGGATGCACCTACGAAAAATTCAAATATACAATTAGTATTCAAATTATTATTGAAATCGAATTAAAAGTATACTATAAAAATTTTTTAATTTTAATCTTAATTCTCACCAAATCGTTTGCTTTTATCCTTTACAGATGTCGTATACTTTCCATCTTCGGTAACATTTGCTGTTTTATTTAACAAACACGTTCGAGAAATGTAATAATTATGAAACATCATAAATCCATTGTCTACTCCATTTAACGCAATTTTTTCACCCATGTCTCCAACATTAATATTTGGGTAAGGTATATGAGTATTTGGATCTCTGATGGGTACGATAAATGTATGAAGTCCATGATTTTGTTTATCTGGTGTAATTAATTGAGCAAATACAATAGCATGAGTTGCAGTTTTTCCTAAAAAGGCATAAATCTTTATTTTATTTTATTTTTTTTTATATATATTTTAAGAATTTTAATTTATAATGTATATTTATATTTATGTATTTTTACTATATTACCTAAACCACCAACCCAACATTTTGCAGCTTCAAAATCAGGAGTATTCAAGACGAAACTCTTCGATTTCACATCATACGTAGCCGTAGTTCTTATTCCTTTCGCATTTGTTCCATGCGATATTTCGGTCAGTGCAAAACAACATGTGTACTAAAAAATTATACTATATGAATAATGTTTCTACGATACAAAATATTTTAAAATTTTTAATACAAATACAATTTTATGTATTTTTAATCTGTATTGATTGAATCCTTTATGAAATCGGTATTAAATTTTAAAAATTTAAACAATAAAATATTTAAAAATATAAAACGTGTCTCGTAAAATGCTTACTTGTCCGTTTTGAATTTTTGTTACCGTGTCATAATGATCTTCTGTGCCTAATGCAAGAATTGTAATTGGAACCATACCATCCATCACACCCATTTTTATCGGTACAGAAGCTTCATATTGATACATTACAGTAAACCAATGTTTATGGGTTAATGGATTCTGTAGAAAAATTATAGGTGACTTATATAAGTAAAAGTTAATTGTTTCTTTTTTCTATTTTTCATTGTTAATAATATATACTGCAATATCGTTATCCTTTAATGCCCGAACACGAGCATTACAAAGTTTTCGTTGTTCATCTAATGTATCACAGACATGGTTTTGAAACACTGGTGACGTTTTTATAAAATCCCACAAAGTTTTCTGAAATGATAAAAATATTTAAAAAGCACTATTTATATCTTTTTTATATGAAAATTCAAAGATAAATTATTAAATATATCGCTATAATGAAATTTCTTTCCAAATACCTGAAACTTTACAAAATCCTCTCCTTCTAAGTTGTATTTCAATAATTTCCAGTCGAAAGTTGCACATTTTCTATAAGAATCTAAAGGTCCTTTCGGTAAGTCAGCTATTGTATCCTTCATTTTAACTTTTTAATTAAAATACCTATATAATAAAAGAATGATTCAACACTGTTTTATTTATTAACATGTCACCGTGATAAAGAAGCGACATAAGTTTTTGCGGATGCTATATAATTCATGAATAATATCAATAAATTCGTGCAAAAATATTTAATAGTATCGATACATTATTATTAATATATATAAATATATACACGATTTTACAATTATCTTACAATTATTTTTTTATTAACACAGAACAAGAGAAACTTTTTTTTTATAGTGAAGAATATATCATTTAATCCAATTTAAAATTTAAAATTATGAATTCTATTTATTTTTATAATAAAATTTTAATTATTCCACGAGATATTTAAATTTTTCTTTAATTCAATGTTTTATTCTAAGTTAAAAGATATTCAAATTATAATCGAAAATATATTAACAAACACATAAAATTTAGAAATACACGAGAATGAAGATAGTACAAGAAGATACTTAGGGTAGATAAGCTAAAAAAAAAGATTTAACATTAATAATGCTCAAATATATTTCACTAAAATCTGCAATATATCTTCACTCTTCTCCCGCTATTCATTATTAATGTTTCAAGTTTCAATGTCTGATCACAGTAAGTCGATAAAGTAAGAGAATAGACATAATTAGAGCAAGCGAGATACATAGATGCAAAACGTAAAGTAGTTAAAAAGAATGCCACGAAAAAAAGTAATAAAGAAAGTTCCATTTTTTATAATTTATATTTTTATATAGATAGTAATTGATCGTCAAGATTCTTTCGATTAAATGAAGGAAATTAATATGACGAATACGACGAATAAATCGAATTAGCTTTTGTAATTAATAATTAACAAATAACTATATCTATAGTTATTTATAATATATAACGTAATTATTAATAATAAATTAATTTTTAATCGAGAGAATATCAATAATCAAAAATAATTAATATTATCTTCAATAATTATATTTTTTATGTAAATGATAAGTATATGAAAAAAATATAAGAAAAAAAAGTTTTACTATTTTTTATAATCATATTATAATTTTCATATTATATAATTTTTTTATATTAATTTTTTATGATTTACATTTTTTAATATGACATTTAACTTTTTGAATGAAATGCTACATATTTTTATTGTGTCGCATAAAGCTATATATCGAAACGAATTCAATCATTTAAGATGCAATAATTTTGAAAATTATATATAAAGCCAACAATAAAAGAAATAATTAAATAATTTACTAGTATGTGCGTATTTTTCATTAACTTTGTTTTACTGTTTTTTTTTTCTTTTATATATTTTGTTATCGTTACACTTTGTTCGAATATTCTGCCTAATGTTTAGATTGATGCATTAGATTTTATTTTTAATGCTCTATTGAATATACATTGTATATTCATCGAATGTTATCGCAGTAGAAAAAAATATTAGGGTATAAAAATTAATTATGAATAATTAATTATGAACTCTGAAATGTTACACAATTCTATGAATAAAAAATATAAAAATGATAATGATAGAAAATTATTTTTATCACAATCGATATAACTTTAAAAATTATAATTTCAAATATAGTTGAATTTGTTTTTAATGCAAAATATGTAACATATATTATATTTATTTTTAGAAAAAAATTCAAATATATACATCAGTATTATAAAAATTATATAAAAAATAATAAAATTTTTTTTTTTTCATTTTATCTATATACTTACCATTTACAAAAATAATCATGGATAGTAACTTTATAAACACTCTTTATATATTATTGCTTATACATTATTTAAATACGAACTTATTATTATTATTTTGTTATAATGTTTTCTTATTTTTTTAACTAAACAAAAATTTCTAATTAACAAAGTTTACGTTTGCATTAAGAAATATAATACATATAATACAATTTTTTTCACAAAAGACAAGTAGAAATTATAATCAACAATTCATCGAAAAGCTTAACATATTCTGCGAACGTTGACTTATATCGTAATAGAGGCCTACTTATATATTAATAATATGTAAAAATAATTTAATAAACGATTTCATTAACTTTCATTAACTTTCATGAAAAATATCAATTATTAAGTTGGTCGAAGAATTCGCAAAAATTCTCGATTAAATTAAACGGTAGATAAATTTTTAAGGAATGAAAAAATTATTATATATATAAAACATTATATACATAATATTTAATTTATTCAGTAATGATATATCAGTTACATTTTAATGATATATGATTAATATAACTTAAAAATAATCAATATAATTAGAAAAAATTCTTTCATAAAAAAATAATAGATTAAATAGATTAAAATTACATAGTTTATGATATATGATATCATGATATATATATATATATATATAATTAGAAATATTTACATTTAAATTTTATAATTAATATATATGAATTTAATACAAATAATTAATCATATATATAATTAAATAAAAAATATTTTACATTGTTAGAAAAAATTTTTATAATTTACAAATTACAATTGTAGCTATTGTATTGTATTATAAATATATATATTGTTATATATATAATTACACAATTGCTTTTTAACTTAAAATAAAAATAAACTGAATCCACCGTGACCTTATTCAAAATTGCCGTTTGCTAACTTGCATTTACATTATCGATTACATTGTTTATCCAAGTTAATTTCCGAGTAAATGAGATTTCTAAATGTTTGATTTCTTGTGATTGAAAGAGCAAATTAAAAAGATCGATAGAGTTAAATCAACATATAGCATTTCCATTTCGATAGTAGAATCGTCAAGCAATGTTACTTGTTACGTTGTTTCTTCAAATCATACTAGTATCTGGTAAAAGGTATTGATATTTTTGCTAATTTTTGTTTAATTCAATTTCAATTTAAATTATTCAATTTATAATTTGCAAAAAATAATTATTAATAATTAATATTAATAAAAATAGAGTATTTTATAAATTACATCAATGCGAGAATAATGAAGCAAATTTAAAATCTCTTGCTGAGAAAATCGTGGAGGAAATCATTGAACAAACAAATTGCATTATTTTTGTTACCGATTCAATTTATCAAAATCTTATAGATATTAAAAATATTAAGGGTTCTTCGAATGTGTCAAAATATGAGGTAACATAAATATTCAAATTTATTTTTAATTATTTTCATATAATTACTCATTATATGTAATTGTAGATCCTATTACGTGATAACGAACAATTTTTACGACCAAGACGACGAATACAAAGAATTTTAGTCGACGGTAGAACAGTTGACTGTAACGCATATATTATGTTAATCAGTAATGGTTATTTGACAGCAGAATTTTTACAATATACAGAAAGGTAAATATATAAATAAAATTATAATAAATAAATATTACTCAAAATATTGTTAAAATAATTTTATGCAATTTTTTTTGCAAATTTTATACAAACATATGTATATATTATATTATGTCCATTTTCATTGTAAATTCTAATTTTTTTTTCTGATTATTTTTAAGTGATTGAAAAATATTTGAATAATATGACATTCGAAAATTTTGCGAACTTTCCAATATAAGTTAAATCTATAAATTTGATAAGATTATATTTCTGTCTCGGACAAATCAAATTAGAAAATCTCGTAAATTAAAACGTTACTTTATTAAACAACCTCTATTATCTTGTGTATATTTTTTTTTAAATATAACCATATGACTTTTTTTGTATAAATTGATTCTTTGAATTATTTTTACTTTATAAGATATTTCATTTTCAAAAATTTATAATAAGTACTCAAATTCAATATTACATTTTAAACATTTCTTATAATTTTTTTGAAACTATTTGAAATTACATTATTTAGTTGTTCAGTATTCATGATTAACATTGAATAATTGCGTCATTAATGCTTTTTAAATTATTACTATATACTATCTATAAGTTGATAATAAGAATAATTATAAAAAAAAAAAGAAAATTAAGAAATCATTTTAAAGAGTTATTAATAGCATGTTATTTACATTACGAATATTTTTAATAAACAAAATTATATTAAAGTGTTAGATGTATAGTTTGAAATATATATATTTTATATATTTTATCTCTAATTAAATAATTAAATTTAAATAAATTTGAATAAAATGAATTGAAATTTTTCTTTAATTTATATATAAAAATTATATATTATTTTGAGTTCGAATAATTATTTACAATAATATACTAATACTTTTCTATATTTGTTTATGATATATTAAACAATAGCTTCTATCTAAATTATATACCTACCGTATATTCAATTTCACGAAGTGATATATCATCTAGAATAGAATTTAATTATAATTTTTTTATTCTTCTGTTATAATTTTTTCACTTTTTTGCACTAATTGACTAATCAATTATCTTTATAATTTTTTTTTAAAAATACTAGTGAATAAACAAAATATTAGAAATAAAATAAGGATGGAATAACGGAACGTAATAGAAAACATTCAAGTGAACTCTGCTTGTACTACCATCATAGTTTTTTACAAATATATAGACTAATATATATTGTGATGTATGCTAATAATATACATTTTAAAACGTTATATTTTTTCAGTTATGAATTTATACATTATTTATATGATTACATTTATGTAATTATTATTATCATAAATATATATACATCAATTTTTATCTCTTTTTTTTCATTTATATTTATATATTTTGTGCCTTATTCATAAATTTGATATTTTAAATATAAAAGTCTAAAATAACTCCAATTTTTTTATTTTCAGAGAACGTCTAATTAATACTCATGGTTTATTTTTATTGTTATATGATTCACGTTTATTCCAATTAAATTTGTATTATCTTTGGAAAAAAATAATTAATGTAGTTTTTATCCGTCAATATAATGCATACAAGCATCGTTCTGGTGAAATATTACTCAAAGAAAAAATTGATTTGAATACCGTCTATTTTCCTCCTCGTAAAAAAAGGCTTACCGCAACAAAATATATAGATACGTGGTATCAAGGGAAATTGCGTTATGGTACCAATCATTTTACAGAAAAAACTAATAATTTACAAAAAAAGCATTTACAGTTTGTATAAAAAATTATATATGACTATAATTATACTTATTACTTTTGAAATATTTTAATAACAATTCTGATATATATTTCAGAATTGCTGTATTTGAACATATTCCAGCAGTAACAGAAAAAATAAAATTATATTATAACAAACAACCAAATAATATAATACAAGGTTTAGGAATAGAATTTGAAGTATGTATTATATACAAAATATAGTATAAAATATATACATATATGTACAAAATAAGATATATAAAAATATAAAATACATTATTTTATATTTATATTATTTCATTCTTTCAGTTAATACAGATTATATCAAAAGCAATGAACTTCAAACCAAAATATTATATACATCAAAATATTCCATTGAAACAAAAGGACATTGAAGGAAGTAATCAAACTGATACTGGGCTAATAAGCAAAGCCATAGAAGAAAATGCTGCATTTTATTTGGGCGATTTACATTATACATTGCAAAATCTGAATTATCTTGATCTCACTATTCCATATAATATTGAATGTCTTACTTTTTTGACACCAGAGTCATTAACTGAAAATTCATGGAAGTTGCTAATACTTCCATTTAAGCAAGTATAAAATGAGAAAATATAATTTATAATAAATAAATGAAAGAAATATAATTAACAAATAAATAATATATTTTTTTGTTTTTAGATTTTACACTTGGATTGCACTTATTCTCACTTTGATTCTAGGAAGTATTGTATTTTATTTTTTGTCATTATCTTATAAGAAGCACATAAGTTCATATAAAAGTCAAAATACATCTATAAAAAATGAAATGAAAGGATTATATTTATTTACTGAAATAGGAAATAGTATTTTATATACTTATAGCATGTTATTTCAAGTTTCATTGCCACATTTACCAAGCCCTTGGGCTGTACGAATATTAATTGGATGGTGGTGGATTTATAGTATTTTAGTTGCAGTTGCTTATCGAGCTAGCATGACTGCAACTCTAGCAAATCCAGTTGCCAGGTGAAAATTAATAAAATTATTTAATAGAATTAATTCATATATAAATATAATATGTATATAATTTAATTTGTATTTAAATTTTAACAAGCTCATTATTAATATATTTCATTATAAATATTTAATACTTTAATATTTAGTATTTTATATATTAAAATATTTGTATTATATTTTATATTATATTATTTATATTATAATTTGAATGTAGAGTTACCATTGATACATTAGCACAATTAGCAAAAAGTTCTATGGAAGTTGGAGGGTTGAATGAAGAAAGCAAAAATTTTTTCTTGAAATCATCGGATCTCAGCAGCCAAGAAATTGGTAATAAATTTATGATAATTAAACATGAAGATGAAGCTATTGAAAAAGTGGCAAATGGTTCTTTTTGTTATTATGAGAACTCTTATTTACTTCAATATGCCCGTGTGAAAAGACAGATAATCGAAAAAGAAAAAAAAAGAAATGAAACTGCAAACAATATATCATCAAAACATAATTTACATATCATGGAAGAATGTATTATAAATATGCCAACAGCCCTTGGTATGGAAAAAAATTCACCATTGAAGCCAAAAGTTGATAATTTAGTATATATTCTTTTTTATAATTATTATTAAACCATTAAAAAAAAAGATATCTCATAATAATATATCTTATGCAATATGTATGTTCTTAGATAAGGCGCATGATAGAAATTGGATTAGTTCAAAAATGGTTAAATGATGTTATGGAATGGCCAAAAATTATGGAAATAAGACAAGAGGCAGAATCAGAAAAAGCATTAGTTAATCTTCATAAGTTACAAGGTGCATTTTTTGCTATTATTTCTGGTTATTTATTGGCTTTTATGATTTTAATAAGTGAAATCTTACATTGGAAATATATTGTATTAAAAGATCCAAAATTTGACAAGTATCATTTAGATATATTTTATAATAGTAATAATAATTCTAAAATATAAATTAACAATTTATAATTATTAATAATTTTTTAAAAATCTAGAAAAAACATATTAATTATATTATAAATAAAATATATTTTATTATTGTAATATAATTCTAGAAGAATATATTTACAATAAAATTGACTTTTTGAAATATATTTATAAAATTACAATACATATTAAACATTATATTTAAAAAAAATGTATATACATATTGTACATAAAAAATTCAAATAGAAAACATATGGTTATAGATATTAATTTATGTATTATTAAAGTATTAATATATTAAAAATAAAGTATGATAAACATAATAAAAGAATTTATAAATTTTTAATTAAATGTCTATAGTATTACATACCAATATTATAACAAAGAAGGTTCAATATTCTTCCTCTCTTTGTTACACAGGCACTTGTTCTTACCTATTCATTGAATTACTCTTTCTTTCTCTCTTTCTCTCTCTCTCTCTCTATTTCTCTTGATAGTTCTCCTTCATTTTCTTCTTCATTCGTTATATATTATGTTTCTATCATTAATCTTAATCTCTATTTTTATTTATTTTTTCTCATTCACTTATATTATTATCATTATTTAAACTTATCTTTTATCGATTTATTAAATAAAATAAATATATTTATATCTATTTTTCTTCTTTTATTCATATTTTTATTCCTTTTATAATATAAATATCTTTTTT